TAAGTTGCTTATTTTCCTTTTCATCTCCCCAAAGATATAGTACATGTTTCCCAACTTCTTTAATTTATTGGTGTCCTTGTGCATGAATTTGCTTCAGCATGGCTGAGAAGCCATGTTTTGAATAAGTGAAATGTGAATTGGAGGTAACTAGGCATCTGAAAATATCCCTTGCTATGTTTCTGACCTAAGGAAGCTAAGATAAGGAGCTGAGGATTGGTTGGGCTTTTTCAAGTTTGTGGGGCCACTGATTTGTATTTATGCAAGAAAAAATGTGGGAAGGTTGAGGGCCACATAAGCAGGAAAATCCCTAAAGTCAGGGGCAGCCTAGACAGGGGAGCCAAAATGGGAAATCTGCAATTATCACTAGATGTGCGATAGGTCGTGACTGCAAAGAGGCAGGTGCCAATTCTTCAGTTAGAAAATGACATTTTATTGAACTGAATGAGGGGAGGATTGGCAGATTTACATTTTACACTGTCAGTTGTTTTCTGCACTTGAGTCAACTGTTCTAGTTAACCAGTCTTTCAAAAGAACTGGCATAATACCTTCACTGACCTGCTTCGTAGGTGTTTAGTGAGAATGAATAAGGTTTCGTAATGGTAGTTAATTCTTTTGCTTTTGTCCATTTTCTTTTGTTTTATCACTTTTTCTGAATGCATTTTTCATTACTCATTTTTGAACCCTCTTTTCTTTGTTGATATGTGTCGATGCCTATTCTTCATAGCCATCTTTGTTTCAGATTTCTTCTTTTATTTCTTAAGCTCAGTAAGAGCTTTGTGAAAAGAGAAATACGTATTATTGTCTTTTCCATAAAGAGGCCTGTTAATTTATGCCCCTGCCCCCTTTTCCTGAAGAAGCTTTGGGCATTTCCCTCTTTCTCCTACCTAAAAAAGGGGAAAGCTCCAAAGTCCTGCATTGTTTGACCTGTTTTTAAAATATGTACTAGTCTTAGGAAGTGACCAGAATCTTGTGTCTCTTCTGTGTTCTCCCCTTCTAGGCAAAGTGGTTCAAACCACAAATTACCTAATAAGTAAAAGTGGTCATGTAGCAATAGTAGAGGAATTTTTATCTTACTGAGAATATCTGTACCTCCCTTGATGGGGATGTTTTTCAGCTAAGTCATTTCCCGGGGAAGTGTGCATTTAATGACCAAAGAGGTCAAATGTATTTCCATGTATTGGGAGATTGTATTTTAATGGAGAGGGACTGGTTGGCTTGTCTTTACTATGCATTTAACAATTAAATTGAATCAATTGAAATTAATTCAGATTGGTAAGAGAGATTTGCCAGCTTCTATGCTTCCATAATTTGCGTGTGTGTGTGTGTGTGTGTGTGTGTGTGTGTGTGTGTGTGTGTGTGTGTAGATACAGGCTTGTAACTTGCAAACAACTCAAAGAAATGATAGAATTAAAAACTTTTTTTTTAATGAAGCAACTAAAGCCTTTTATTTTTGTACTAGAACAGGAGTACTTGACCAACAAATGGAATATTGTGTATTTTTCCTATTAATGTTTGATTGATCTCTGAAGGAAATACATAGCAAGCTACATAATGATCATTTCAAGTTCTATATTATGTTGTTGTTGTTATTCTATTGATACTTTGAAGTGGTCTTGAGTTGCTCAAAAGGAATTTTCAGGCACTTGAGGTCAAAAGGTTTGCCAGGGAGGACAGGACTGTGTATTCTTCTCATCAAATCACTTCATAGCAAGTGGCCTCTTTTGGTTACTATATGATACTGAAGCTTCTACTTTTTCCTCTGTTCATCATCTGTTAAGACCTGTCTTTCCTATAAATAACATTTAATGAATTCCCTATTGTCATTTGGTCCCTTTAAACCCACACAGTACAGCAAAGTAATTACTATCCCTTTAAAGGATGCATTTCTTTAACTTTTTATTTGCTTTCTTTGAGAGAAGACTTTTTTGATGAGATTGATCATGATACTAATGAATGTGATATTTTTTGATACTGTATAAATGAAACATGTCAACATTTGGAAGATCTGCATAACTCAGTGAATCAGTATTTTCTAAATGACCAGTGCATGATGGTACAAAATCATACATGAGTAAAAGATCATTTAAAATGCAGGATAGACAAGGGGAGTTGAATGTAAGAATATGAAATACTTATTATATGGTTTCAGATTCTATATTGCAGCTAACCTCTAAGAAGCTACCACTTGTTAAGTTTTGGTGTAGTATCAAAGAAGAATATCCAGAATTATTGGAAAAGGCTATTAAAACACTCCTCTCTTTTCAAAGTATGTATTTGGGCAAGGCTGGATTTTCTTCATATACTTCAGCCAAAACAACATATTGTAACATGTAATGTACAAACAGATAGGAGAATCTAGCTCTTTTTAAAAACCAGACATTGGAGAGAATTGCAAGAATGTAAAACAAGGCCATGCTTCTCCCTGTATTTTTTCAGAAAAAAATAGTTATTTCATTAAAAAGTTTTCATATTAACATAGTAGGTTTGTTATTTTAAAATGAATTAATAAATATTTTTAAATTTCTCAGACTTTGTTTTTAATATAGTACATGTAATCCATATAATTTATATATACAGAAACTCTTTGGGGTCCTGAACACTTTTTAAGAGAGTAAAAGGTTCCTGAGACCAAAATGTGTAAGAACCTGTGGTATAGTGTTTAAAGAGGAACTTGGAGCCAAATTGCTTGTCAGAAACACAGCTTTATTGTTTAATAGCTCTGTGACTTTGGACAAGATATTGAACTGCTTTTTGCCTCAGTTTCCTCTTGTGTAAAATATCATACTGTATGAAGGTGTGGTAGGTGTTCTCCTTGATCTTCTATCCTGCTACCAAGGAAATTATCATTCCCTTTATCCTAACCCCCATCCTCAGCTTTGGAACTCAAGCCATCAGACTATGGGACACACCACTCCATCCTTGTTATTACCTATAGACCTTCATTGAAGATTTTAACACATGACTCTTCGTGACTCTCTGCATTATTGCTCTCGTCATGATTCCAGGCAATTTAATATTCGTATAAATGATCCTTCCAGCACCCTGGCCTCAGTCCCTAACTTCCTTTCCTTCAGTGATCTCATCCCCCACTCTACCTCAGCCAGGCACACTCTTAGCCAGACTCTGTCAATACCATTTACAGATCACTTCCATCATCCCATTCTGTGACCACACCTCCTGTGGTTCTTTTTATATCTCAACTCCAACAATTCTGCCAGCTCACAGGACCATTGGTCCTACCACCTTTCAACTAATTCTCACTTCCCTTATGCACTTACCTGGCTTTTTTCTGGCTTAAACTGTGTAGTCTGTTAATTGACACTCATTGTTTTGCAAACCCTCTAAGATCTCTCGCTCCTCTTTCTATCTATCGTGCTTGTCTGGCAAAATCCCAACCTTTGCTAAATCCAAATTCCTCCCACTCCACATTGCAGCCAGGCAGTGCAATTGATGCTCATTGGTCTCTCTCAAAAACCATACCTCTAACCTCTGTGGAGCTTCCAGTGCTCCTTCCTTTCCTCAGTCCATTTATTCTAAGTGACTATTTCACACTTCTCAAACTTCCAATACCCACCCCTCCTTCCTCACTCTCAGCTGATGACCTTCCTTCCTATTTCAAGGAGAAAAGATAAGCTCTCAGGAGAGAGCTGCCACATGCTCGGTCACCATGTGGAACCACCTGCCTGCACTCCCACTCATTTAGTTGGTTCTCCTCCTTTTCCTCTGCATGGACTCTCTCTGCTCGTTTCGAAGGCTAGCCCTCTATGAGAGCCCATTTCTAGCTACCTGTTCATTCGCTTCTCTCCTGGTATTCTGCCCCCACCTCATTATCACTGACATTGCATTAGGCTACAAATATTCGAGCAAAACTTTCCCTTGACCCAACATTCCCCTCTAGTTGCCATATGGAATCGTCTGTATAGCTGTCTGCTATTTCTTTCTACCCATTCTCGCTTAGACACTCAACTGTCAAGTTTTTACTTCACCAAAATAACACTTGTTGAGGTCATGATGGGCCTACATGTCACTAGACCCAGTGGTCAATTCTCAGACTTTGTCTTACTTACCAAACACCATCTGACACGCACTGGCCACGTCTTTCTCCTTGGAGCACTTCCTTCCATGGCTCCTGGGATGCATGCTCTATTTTTCTGAGTAGTGTTTATCACCATCTGATATATTCAATTCTTCGTTTATTGTTTATTTTGGTCCACTAAAATGTGAGCTCCTTGAGAGCAAGGGCTTGGCTTGTTCTCAGCACTGTTAAGATGAGTGGTTCCTACACAATAGGTACTTGGTAAATATGCATATTTGTTGAATGAGTGAATGAATGAATGAATGAATGTGAGCTTAACAATACTTTATACTCATCACATCTTCCCTCATCCCCGGCTTTCCTGGTCATAAGCTTTCACAGCCATTGTCTTCCTCTTTTTTTCTGAACCTTGCGTCTCCTAATTGTATTTTCCCTCCTCCTTACTCCATTCCTATCTTTTTCAGGCTGAACCATCACCATTGTGCGTATATTTCTGTGGGGCTGTAGTGTTTACAGAGCACTTATTCATATCTTGCGTTACAGATGCAGATGGTCTGTGGATCTGAGTGGATGAAATTAGCATATAATGCTGAATTTAGGTGCTGATGGAAAAAACTTAAAATTATAAAAGAATCAGAAACAAATGAAGTCTTCCAGAGCTAAAATTATGGTCTTCTAGGATATTTAGGTTTCTTGTTTTATTACTACCCCGCTTTACACTTCACTGTTTCTTCCTACTCATGACGGAATTTCTCTTGATTTTCTGCAAGGATTTTGAGAAGGAAGGAGAAATCACCAAACTCAAAGACTCTTCTCACTGCAGTGCTGAGTTTATCACTAATTAAGAATAGTCTGTCCCTCTTAGATTTTCATCTCTCTTTTCCCCTATGTTGATTTGGTAATGTGATGCTGGGTTTGGATGAAAATTCGTTTTTAACTGGCCTTTTGTTTGTGGCGTCTACAGAACCTTGCCTCCTGGAATCCTTCGAATCCTGAATGCCTCTTACTTGTGGTGAAGGAACTGGTCCAACAGTATCACCAGTTTCAATGCAGCCGTCTCCGTGAGAGCTCCCGTCTCATGTTTGAATACCAGACATTACTGGAAGAGCCACAATATGGAGAGAACATGGAAATTTATGCTGGGAAAAAAAACAACTGGGTAAGGCTTTTTGAGAATGGGGGAAGAAAAGTCACTTTATTTGTAAAAAATAAAATGATCAGTTCAGATGTCCATTTATGATAAACGTTAGCCATTTCCATAGATAAACATGGTTCAGGTTGCCTATATACTTTCTCATAAGTGAGAGTTTGAAGGGGCCCTAATGTTTACCTGGTTCATCGTGTTGCTCAAAGGTGTCTCCTGGGAAGTTCGTGACACTCGGAGTCTCACATCCCAGCCCCAGATATTCGGAAGTCAGGGCAGAGCCTGAGCACCTGCACCTATAACAAGCCCCCTTCTTGGTCCTGATGCAGGTGGCTCAGAGGCTACGTTTTGAGACACTGACAAGTTTCCCTTTCTTTTCATTGTAGAACTTCTTCAGTCTCCCAGTCAGCTAAGAGAGGTCACTCTGGAGGTAGCTAGCTTATATGGAACCTTCTATACTTTCTTTTCACAGTTTCTTTGCATTGTATGATCCTTTTAAAATGCGAGTCAGATCACGTGACTCCTAGGCCCAGAACGCTCATACACACCTCTCTTTTCCTCTCATGGGAAAAGCCAAAGTCCTTCCATTGGCATCACATGCTCTGTGTGATTTCAGCACCATCCTCCATCCATCATGACTTCTCTCACTTCATCTCCTACCTTCCTGTCTAAAAACGCCAGCTCCAGTCACACTCGCACCTTTGCTGGGCTGCAGACACACCAGGTATGCTCCTGCCGCAGGTTCTTTGTATATAGGCTTTGTTGTTGTCTGGCATATTTCCCTCAGTAGTCACATGCTCAGTACCCTTCCCCCTTAAAGTTTTTACTCATATCTCGTATGCTCAGCGATGCCTGTGTCAACACCCTGAATTTTTTTTAACAACGTTTTTGAGGTGTAATTTACATACCATAAATTCACCTGTTTTAAGTGTACAATGCAATGTTTTTAATACACTTGCTGAGCAACCACCACCACAGTCCAGCTTTAGAATGATTTCATCACCCCTAGAAGATTCCTCATGCCTTTTACAGTTAATCCTATTCCCACCCCAGCCCCAGGCAACCACTCACTACTTTCTACTGTGTAGATTTTCTTTTCAGAACATTTCATATAATGGAATCATATAATATGTAGTCTTTTTGTGACTAACTTCTTTCACTGAGCATAGTATATTTGAGGTTCATCTATGCCATAGCATGTATTAGTATTTCATTTCTTTTTGTTGTTGTTGGAATCCTAGAGAAAAAATTTTATGTTGTTTGTACAGTGCTCCATTTCATTTTGTAGCTGAATAATATTCCATTGGATATATATAAATATATATATACTACATCTTCTTTATGCCTTCACCAATTGACAGACATTTGGGTTTCCAGTTTTTCCCTGTTACGAATAATGCTGCTATAAACATTCACGTGCAAGTCTTTGTAACACCCCTTTTTAAAACCGTAAGTCGCACACCCCCACCTTTGCCCAGCTCTACATTTTTTGCATCTCTTTTTAACATACCATGTAATTAACACATTGTATTAGTTATATGTTGCTGCATATAAAATAATTATTCCAGAATTTAGTGGCCTCAAACATTTACTGTCAGATTTTTGTTTGTCAGGAATCTGTGTAGCCCCTTTGCTTCAGGGTCTGTCAGAGCCTGCACTCAAGGTACTAGTCAGGGCTGCAGTGTTCTCAGGGCTCCACTGGAGATGGATCCGTTCTAAGCTCATGCATTTCATGTGGTTGTTGGTACCTTTCATTGCCTTGTGGGGTGTTGGGCTGAGGGTCTCAGTTCGGTGCTGGCTGTGGGCTGGAGGCTGCCCTCAGTTCCTTGCCTCTTCGAAGGGCCTTTCCATAGGGAAGCTCAGAAGATGGCAGCTGGTTTCACCAGAGAGAGTAAGAGTGTGTGAGCAAGAGAGAAGTCACAGTTTTCCTAAACTAATCTCAGAAGTGACATCTCATCATTTTTGCTATATTCTATTTAGGCCCAGTCTACACACTCAGGAGGAATTACATAAGAGTATGAATACCAGGGATTATTGGGAGCCACTTAGAAGCATCCTACCACACTTCCTTATTATGTTTTTTGTTTATCCGCCTCTCCCCACTGGAAAGTAAAATTCCATGAAGGGCAGGATCTTTGTTCGATTCACTGATGGATCATAATAAATACCTAGGACAGTGCCTGCCCCATTGTCTACATGCCATAAACATTTGTTGAATGAATGAATTAATAAACTCTCTAGTGTAGTTAAGCACAGAGTAAGTTTAGGTTCCTTTTTCTGTGTCAATTCTTTGAGGCTTTACTTAATCTTCTTTTACTTGGGTTAAATATGCTTCCTCCTCTTATTTTTCAGCTTTTTCTTAAAAGGACATAGTTTCCAAGGTCTTATACATGATTAATGCCTTTGAATCAGTAGGACTACAATTTATTCTTGTTACAAATTATCTTGTTTATTCAGTTCAAGGTTGTGGGGTTTTTGTTTTTTTTTTTTTTTTTTTGGTAAATTTATTTTTTTAATTATAGTGTCATAAAAGACCCATAAAATTAAATTTACCATCTTAACCGTTTCTATGTATATAGTTTAGTGGTATTAGGTATATTTACATTGTTGTGCAACAGATCTTAGAACTTTTTCATTTTGCAAAACTGAACCTCTATATCCATTAAACATTAATTCCCCTGCCCTCCAGCCCTTAGCAGCTACCCTTTTTTTGTTTCTATGATTTTGACTCCTTTAGATAACCTCATTTAAGTGGAATCACAACACATTTGTCTTTTTGTTGTGATATTAGGCTAAGCTTATTAAGCTTATTTTGCTTAGCATAATGTCTTTGAGGTTCATCCATGTTGTTGCATATGACAGGATTTCTTTCATTTTTTAAGGCTGCATAGTATTCCATATGTGTATGTACCACATTTTGTTTGCCCTTCATCGGTCGATGGGTATTTGGGTTGCTTCCATCTCTTGGCTGTTACGGATAAAGCTGTGCTGTACATGGGTGTGCTAATTTCTCTCGAGACCCTGCTTCGAATTCTTTTCAGCGTATCCCCGAAAGTGGAATTGTTGGATCATATTGCTAATTCTATTTTTAATTTTTTGAGGAACCTCCATAATGTTTTCCATAGTGGCTGCACCATTTTACATTTTTCACCAACAGGGAGGAGTTTAAGGTTTTAAACTATTGATTATTTTGAAAGTTTCATCTGTTCACATGGGCAGTAAGGAGAACGTGGTTGACTTAGCTTGCCCTCTGGCCCAGCATTTCCCTTGTTAAATAATCAACTTAGCTGTCCTCTCAAAAAGTTAGGTAAACTTGGCATGACTTCATGTTGGTGAACCTATGTTGTCTTTAGTGCTGATAGACTCATTTAAAAACGAGAATCACTGTCAAACTAATTGGTCTTTCATTTTTAGGATTTTCCTTCCCACCCACATTTGCTCTTTTAGTATTAAGGCTGAATTTAAATATATCCAGTTTTATGGTACCTTCTCTGATTGAAGAATTTCTGAAATTATGTTCATTGGCTCAGCTAATACTTGCGTTGTAGTTCATCTGGGTGTAGAAGTTTTTAAATTCATTTAAAGCAGCTAGACAGTTTGAATTTATAGCGTTTTAAAAACTTTCTATTCAATGTTATTGATTCTTTATGCTTTACTTACAAAACCTACTACTGCCATAATTACCCCGGTTTATTTTGATTTACCATTGAGTAATTTGTAAGCATTAGGGCAATGGTGATGGATTCAGGGGGAGTAAGGAAACCGATAATCTCATAACAAGGCAAGGTGGGCAATTAGAGGTTAAGTTTACAGCAGACCAGGCCTAGGGAAGGCCTATCGGGAGTGGGAGCTGAGACTGTAGAAATGAAAATATAGCATCTGAGTTAGTTACTGGTCAGAAAACAGGAGATAAAGGTGAGCCTTGGGGGATGAAACACATTCAATCTTGGCATACTGATTCAGGAATAGATTAAAGGACAGCCTGCTAATGGAAACCAAGTCTAGACCAAGACACTGGAGGATAAACGCAGGACCCTGGCAGAAAGAAAGGAGCTTGATTTTGAGCCATGATTTTTTTGCATCAGGGACTGTATTAATTTCGTATTGTTATTCCAAACTTGGTGGCTTTAAACAACACAAATTTATTATCTTATAGTTCTGGGGATCAGAGGTCCAAAATGGGTCTCCCTGGGCCAAAATCAAGGCTGCATCCCTTCTGGAGGTCTAGGGGAGACTTTCAAGATGCGGAAAAAACTGGCAGATGTGTTCTCAGAGGTATTATCTTTGAGGAATTATGGAGAAGCAAAAGATCCCTGAAGGCTGTAGAAAAGAAAAACATTCCGGAGATTTTAAAAAGAAATGACACTCAGGTCTTTAAGTGGATGATTTGCACACGTTTAATAAGAATGCAATAGTTAGTTGGGTAATCAAGAAACAGTCATGGCCAACTTCTTTCACCCTTTTAAGGAAGGTGAATATTATTGAATTGGATTATTTCATTTTCAATAAATCATTCGGTTATTCTTCCCCAGTATTCTGCTGACTGTATGCTCCGTTCTTAGTTGTTTGAATATATGGTAGAGCTACACGTAAAATTGGATATAACTTGTCAGGCATCAGGTGTCTTGTGGAATGTCACAGGGCTTTTCCTTTGGTCCTCTTATGTCCATTGTTTTATTAGGGTATTGAAAGACATGCTTTTCCTTTTTTTCTCATAACACAGAGCTTGAAAAGATGAAAGGCTACAGAATCAATATTTTAAATTATTTTTATGTACTAGAATGCTGCATCAATCCCATAAGATGCAATTTAATAGGGATAAACCAGTGTAGGACTTATGAACATTTATGGAAAGTATACTATGCTAGGTTTTGGATTAAAAAAAAAGCAAAAAAGCAGTATATCCGTCATGGCTTTTGCTCTTTAAGGTGTTAAAATCATGTTGAGAAGACTCAATACATATTTTAAAAAAACGAAATAGCAATGCTGGATAGATTAAGTCTCAAATGGCTTAT